TATAGGGTGCTTTCATCAGTTTCGTGCGACAATGATGACTTTACGTTATTTTCATTGTTCCAGATACCATATGCAGTCTTTTATTGTTCAGTGTTTGCATTATTTTATCAATAATATTTTCCACTTGATATAATACAATAAAATTCTGGAAAGTCATTTGTCCACCTTATGCAGGATATTGTAATATCTAACTAATATTATGAAAGCATCGTGGGTGTTGACAAGTAGTGAAAAAAGTTTTTGGATATTTGAAGCAGTCATGTAAATAAGGTACTGTTGGAGTTTTTCAAACAAGTTTTAAATTTTTCTGAAGCTGCGATCACTACTAATTACTGCAAGCGTGGGAGTTATAGATGACTCCTGAAATTAAACTGAAAAATAAATGTATATCTTTGATAATAGGATTACTTAGATGCATGGATTAATCGCTTCGAAATTTAAATGACAATACACATATTTTGAAGTTAATATTCTGCTATAATTTAGTAAATGACGTTGTAAGATTTTTTGTATTGCTAAACTCCTATTTTAAATTAGAAATTCTATGTTGTTTATCATTTTTCTCAGCTAGAATGGTTCCTTAGTTTCTTACTTTTTATTTTGCAGGTTCATATTCCAATGTTCTCAATACTGAGTCTGATTCATATTATGAACTAATTCCTTTTTTCCCGTGCTAACATCTCTAATCCAAACTCTATAAGTCATGTTAGCTGACCAGAACTTCATACATTTTGTTTACATTTTTCATTTCACAGACAGAAATTATAAATAAAATAAGTAGTAACAGTAATGGTGCTTCGTGCCAATGACAATTGTCTAAGCTCGATGAACGTATAGCTTACATGCAACTGTTGATGGAAATTCTCACATGGATTTAACACAAACGGATACGAGAATTCTATTCTGTTTAGTAAATGTAAATTCGTTCCATTAATGACTTAAGTTCAGAGCGGTAGTTTCTACAATTCTCAGTCCTTTTTTCTTGTTATAAGACATGAAATTGAGATGTTTTTAGCAACAAAAAGAAAATTTCTTTAGATAGTAAATGATTTCTAAATAACAAAATGAATATTTCCAGAGTAGCACAGGAGAATACGGAATAAAAATCAAAAATAAATGAGGTGCAAGAGAACATGCAGATGCACTTTTAACATGCATTAGATTTAGTGTTTCACACTTTAAAGGAATCGCAAATGTGAAAGCAAATTTTCATTTTCAACGGTAAACAGTTCTTTGGAAATGAGTGGAAATCTAAATACGTTGAATTTTGTGAGAGTGACTGGAATATTCCTACAGCAATATTGGCATATAAAAGGTAAATAATTAGCTAATAAGGTCGGATAATCGACCCGAATTAGTGCAGGGAAGAAATAGTTGGTATTTTATTAGCGACATTATTAATAAAACTGATAACAAAAACTTCAGATTATCTCTGCTTTTTTCGCCGTTTTTTTTCAGTCAATAATCTCGAAATACTTTCTCACATATCCCCAATTGCTTCTGCTATCAATTCTCCTCATAAAACTATTTCAGCCAATGTTGTCTATAGCGCAGGATCACTTGCAGACCTTAAAAATGGTTCAAAAGTTTCTAATTTATTGTAAACCTAGTGGAGGATGAACAGTTGAGAAACACAGGATGAAAGTCTGAAAGAAAAAAAAAAGTGAGGTCTGAATTAGAATGTTTTCAGAAATTTCCAGATCTGAATTTACACAGGACTCAGATTGGGGTAAAAGGAGAAATAATTTGCGGTAGAGAAACCGTCATCAAAACTTACGCACTTCTAAAAGGAGCGTTATTGATAGCTAAGCTTGTATTTAAGAAAATAAATTTAGCAATCGCGCACGTTCAGATGTATATTTATTTCATGTGCCGAAACTCCATAAAAATTGCCTTTGGTTATCCGGAAGGGGTGAGAGATCTAGACTTAAAAGATCTTGGGAGTTTGTTGACAAAATCGAAGCTTAATTCAACTATCATTGTGCAAATCAAATTCGACAATTTCTCTCAAGAGCGCTGTAGTTGGTTGCCGCACAGGCCACACACGATGCTTCGAATAAATATGCTGAGGCCACCACATTGACCTTCTGCTGTCCCTCTATTATTTAATGCCATATTGACAAATTGATTTTTTTTCAAACTTGGCGCTTTCGAAACCATCCAAATTGACATCAAATTGAAACTTACCAAATTAGGTCTGTAGCAGCGGTCAGTCTACTAGTGGAAGGGTATCATTGCGCTAAAATACTAACCAAAGTTTTACAAAAGCCTAAGCACAACTCATTTCAATTTTAAAAATGATCGTGAACACAAAGGCAATCGATAGATACTATCGAGAGAAAGACCTTTGCTTGGAAGAAGACGGTATGAAAACTTATTTTATAGTTAAGAAGAGGAACAGCACCTCCATTGCACTAGCTCTTCAAATACCGAATGAAAATTTCGTGGATAGGAAGGAACTTCCACGCTCTGGAAACATAAGAAAAGTAAAGAGAGAAGGATAATCTCTTGAGCATCTTTTGAATACAAATTTCAAACACATATATGTATTTTCAAATTTCTTTTTGTAGATCTAAAAAGATTAAGGCTTCAACTACAGTTGACATTAGCTTCTAAAATAGGAAAAAAAAAAAGAAAATAATATCTATAGGGAAAAGATATCATTACGATAGATATGCTAACATACGAAACAGTGATATCATTAAAATGAAAAAATAAAGTGAGATGAGATAAGGTTGTTAAAGCTTTCAAAGAAAAAAATTGCCGTATTATTTTCAACCTACAGTCTTTCCGAAGAAAAAAATTATTAGTCCTGCAAGGACTCAGTACAACTTCCGTGAGTTATTTCAATCTACTTTTTATAGCTTCTTTTTTTTTTTAAAGCAACTTGAAAATCAGGAAATATTTAAGCTCTCAATTAGAATGCTCAACATATATCAGCAACAGTAACCATATGTCGGATACTGGTTTTTCGGATGTTGGATGCGATTATGCTACAACTATCTTATCCTATTGACATTTTTTTTTTCAATTCACTGTTAAATAAGTTGATGAAGTACAATATTTTTAGTTTAGTTTTATTTTAAAATGATTTGTAGAATGAAATCGCAAGAATTTTGTTTACATAAAGAAGTGTAATTATTAGTTATAGTTTCGTTAAAAGAAAAATGCATTTGAAAGAAAAATTATTTTTTAATAGGAAATATATCCGTCATTCTGCTACTCTTCACTTCAATCCCTCATGTATCACTTCAGGAAAAAAAAAAATCAAACTAAATGTAAACCAAATGTTCCAAATGTTATTTGAACAGAAGCACTCTAGTGGTACTTCAGTTTCGTACAATTAACTATTTTAATATGTTAAAATTAAGTGGCATGAATTTTTTCTCTTTTTCATGTTTATTTTGTACAAAAATCACTTTGTATTTTGATAAATGCTTTCATTGTTGTCATCAATATTTTCCCCCTGCATTAAATTTTCAAAGTTGTAACGAAAGTTGAAATAAACAATTATTTGGAGAAAAGAACGATTTTTCTTCTAAGTAGCAAAATATTTTATAGCAAATATAAAATATATTTTATTTGATGAAATTGCAGTTCAGAAGTTTGCTACTTTTATCATAAATATTATCGATTTACCCTTAAAATGTCCTCAAACACCTATATGACCACCACAAGCACTTAATTCCATTTATATTGTATACTAGTTGATTAGATTATATCAGCATAGAATCAATGAAGCATTTCTGTCTTAATCTGCTCTTTTTTAACATATTCAAGAATTAGATAATTATTTTTTTAATTGTGAATTGGAAATATGTTCCGTTGTCACTCGCTTGTACAGGTCATATGAAGAGAAGAAATTCACTTATCCTTACAAAAAGAATCCACTTCATCTACTATAGATAAAGCGAAAACATTAAGAGATAAACGTGATCTATGAAATATTCAAAAATTTGGCTTGAAATTGAGTGATCAGGGTGATAAGCGAAAACTAACAATGCCGCAATAGTTCATTTTCAATTTGAACTGGTTGATCAATAAAAATGTATCCAAATATTTTTTATCATTCTATTCATCAGTTCTGCCACAATTTAAATAAATTATGACCTCAACTTAATCATTCCGAAATTTAGAAAGATTCAGAGATGAAACGATACTGGCACAGAACATCGATACGTTTCAGAATTTATTTTACAGTGATCTTATATTGCTGCCTGCTATTTTGTTGTTTCTATTTCATGCTACCGTTAATCAGATTAATAGTATTGAAGAGTGAATCATTCGCTGAAAATCTGATAAATCTTCCTTCATTAAACAAAGAGGTAACAATTAATAATACTGTCTAATTTATTGCTATAATTTATTTTCCTATGCTAATTCTTTAAAACTGATTCAACAGATATTTATTAAATACATTTTGTTTAATAGAATTGAATTATAAAAGATTTTTTTTAGATATACAGGAATAACAATAGTAATGAAGGGGTTGTCTTCGCTAATCCATATCAATACGGTTGGACTATTTTAGAGAAAACGTTTTGTACCGTACTGTATCCAAACTTAACCGTCATAATCGTTATTCATTCTGCCGCCGATCATTTTAAACAACGCATACTCTTACGGCAAATGTATGGCCAACGTTTTTACAAACAGGTCAGATATTCCATCTATTATTTTTAAGCGAAGTATTAATTCAGCTATTAAGAATCACTCATTAGATTCCGATTATGTTTCACATCCAATCTGGAAATTTAATTGACAATGGCTTGAAACAAATGAGACTTGATGTGATAACATCAACACTTTATAATTTTCTAACTCATAGCATCCATATTTTTGCATCTCATAGTTTGAAAAAGTTGAACAAATTTTTATGAATTATTTGCTGTAATAAAAAGTGATGTGATTTATACCTATAAGCAATTTATGAAATTATCATAACATTGAAAAAAATAAATAATTTACAGTATGGTATTACGACACTGTTTGCAGTGGGAATGCCACGGGATAGTAAAATACAAAAACAGTTACTTGAAGAATCAAGGAAAAAACACGATCTCATACAACAAAATTTCCATGATAGTTATAGAAATTTGACATGGAAGGTCGAATTTAAACATTTGGTTTCTATTGTAAATAACAAAATTATGTGCCATAAAATTTATTGCAAGTAACTCATATCTTGCATCTTAACAAAAAAAAAATCATATTTCAGTGCCTAATTGTAATATCTGTTTCATTTTTTTTCTTCAATCATTGATATTTCCCAAAAATTCATAATTATTTTGTCAGGAAATGTATGATGAAACCTATAATGTATCGATGATCCTTCAGGCATTGATGTGGCTTCGTTTCATCGATGAATATTGTCCGAATGTACAATACATCATAAAGCTTGATGATGACGTCGTAGGCAATATATTGGAAATAATTCATTTTTTGAACGAACATGTTAAAGCAGTAAGCTTGTTGAAATCACAGAAGCAAATCTTTTGCCGTGTCATTTATCATCGACCAGTGTCACGAGAAAAGAAGAATAAATGGTACATCAATATTCGGATAAATGTGTCGTTTCCTTTTTACTTTTTTTGGTTTTTTGTTTTCTTCTTTTTCTTGCATAAATGTAAATTTTAAGAAATCCGGTAAGATTTGTTACTATTTCATTAAAGGTATGTAAGAAGGGATGAATTGTCATCTGAATATTATTCGAATTATTGCGTCGGTATGGCAATTATATTCACTGGTGATTTACCAAACATGCTGCTACGAGCTGCCAAAAAAGAAAGATATTTCTGGGTTCGTTGCTTTATACGATACACTTGTCGAATTGAAAGGTTAAAAGAGATAGGTTAAATTTTCGGGGCCAGTGTAAATTTAAAGCTGAAAGTATAATTACTTGTCCTCGAGCTATAACTGAAATGACGTAAGTAAACAAAATAGAGTAAGGGATTATCATTAGTTATCATGAAACAAAAAAAGGTTGATAAGTTTTGTAAAGGTCAAAATTATATGGCCAAACCTTAATCTTGTTTTATGAGAAGTTGCATGTATTAGATAAAGACATGATTTAGTTGTAGATTGATGATTACTTTATAACTGGAATTTTGGCCAAAAAAGTTGAAGCGCAGTTAGTGGATTTAAAACGAAAAATAGTGATTTACACATGGGAAGGAAATGAAGAAGCGCTTGTGAATGGTGATATATTCTTTCGTTTATTTTCAAATATGTCGCATGGTCTGCAGTTGTGGCGACAAATTGAAAACAGTTATTTTATACGATTTTTGAATAGTTCTCTGCAGCTAATGATGTCTCCTTCACATAAACGTTTCTAGAAAATTTAAATGCATGTTTTATTGAAGATCGTTTGTATATATTTTTTTATCACTCAAAAATTAAATTTAAAAATTGGATTAGATTTTCCAACAAATATTAAATACAATTATTTAAACTCAGATAATTTTTTCATTACAAAGTGTTTGCCTCATTGATGGTTATACAAATTTTTTACTTTTACTGAAATGATTTTTGGATAATGTACTAAAAAGTAGTAGTTGATGTATAAACAAGTGGTATAGATTCCGGAATCTCAAATGATGTTAGCAAATGTTTTTCTGCTAGGTCTACACATTGGGAGGAAACGAAAGTGACCGAGAAATTTTAAAATAGTTTTGCTAAAACGTATGATTGAGGACATCCACTTTTAAAATAATACTGTCTTTATCAAAAAAAAAAAAAATATATGATAACAATATATAATAAATATATCATTTTTCATATAATAAATTTAATTGTGCACGACAACAATGATTACTTTTATAGCTAAAAGAAAATTATATTAAAATCTAAGAAATCTCAACGTTGTTGCTCAAAATTCACTGGAGATTTACATGAAGATGAACTTCCTGATTTTAATCATTGCGCTTGAAAAAGCATATTAGTTAATAAGAATTTACTCTGAAAATAGCAAAATGAAACAGTCATCTTACCTGCCACATATTTATATATTTTTTATTAACATTTGTGTGTTAAGCGATAACTTAAACCACAAATTTTCCTTTTCTTTACTGTAATAATCTAACATATACTTCTTACATTAGCTTAGAAATGTCAGCAAAGTTATGTCATTAATGCTAATAGTAGTAATAAAAGTTGTCATACCATTCACCATCAAAATTTCATTTCTTTTTTTCAACCTTCTCGTTTTCACTTCCTTCTTCATGATAATATTTATTGAATTAGATGGAATTTTTCTTTATAGATTTATCTTTTTTTTTTTTTTTGAAAATCTATGATACTTTAGCTCACTTCATTCTGTTTACCAAATTTTGCAATTAAAAAGTACCAATGGAATGACTTCATCATAATCACTGTAGCAGGAAATCTCTCGTGATAATAGTATATATGTCGTTCTTGATGCAAAGTTTCATTTTCTCGACTTTTTTTTTCTTGTTTTTCTACTGTTTGTTGGACTATTCGCGCTTAAAAAGATGTCAAACAACTCTTTGATTTCAATTTATTCAATAATATTTCCGTCTTAATGAAATAATATTTTCAAATCACACGTGAATTTATTGTGAAGAAACTAATGCTTTGATCTGAGAAAAAAAAACTTTCATAAAACATACAGATGATCATTTCATGTGCTGGCATAGGGGAAAAAAAATTATTTTGATCGTTTCCAGTCACTTACTAACAACATAACAAAGAAATTGCAGCAATGAAAACATTTGGAAAATTTGATTTTTTATTTCAGCTTAATAAAAAAAGAATTCTTATGGAAAGAAATTAAATGGCTATTTTTATAATTAGACAGCACTAATACTGTAGATAATAGAACAGCGCTCATCAATAATTAATGATTTATTCGTTCTAGTTTGTGATATGGCTCGTGAAATTATTAAGTTGTTGAAATGTCTCATATATGTTCAATTATTTGTTACCTTATAATACTACTTTAATCTTAATTTCATCCTTTTAACATCACATTTAAACGATCAACAAGCCAGTAAACAGACTGCTAGCATACTGACCCAAGCAAAAGATTTTCTACGGTAACATTGCTGAGATTTATGAAGGATTTTGGATGAAATTATAAGAGAGGTTATGTTCCCTGAACATTAGTTCTTAACAAGCAGATTTTATTACTTACAGCGAGAACTTATCGACACAGTAGAATTTACGCATCAAATCTTATGTTTTCCGTGGTCATTCTGTAAGATAGTTTAGGCAGCCAGTTCGAAACAGTGTTATGAGATTGTCTAATGAATTGCTACTAGCTGCCTGCCACTTCTCCATGCAAAGCAGTGTAGTATCGATGTATAGAAGTTGTCGAGTAGTAGTGGGGTGGCACCGCCTGAGGAGATGGGAGAGAAGTGTGACCTAAGCTGATCAACAGATCAACAGTCCTGTGCTGCTATTACCCACAACCATAGCTAGTGCACTCCTTCTACTTGTCTTACTTGTCTATCAATAATGCATTACACCACTTATTTGCTCATACTTTCGCAGCTTATTACAGATGTTGTTATATGTACATCGGAAGAACCTGAGGTATTTCCCTCTTAAGATTCAAATCCTCTCTTTATAACTTCTAACATATCACAGTTTTTGCTTCATCAAACTTTACAACAAACTTTCTAATTCTTTTAAATTATTAAAAACGTTTTTCTTCCTTAAACTAAATTAAAAAAAAAAAATAAAAAATAAAAAAAAAAATCTATATCTTCAAAAATTTAAGCGATTTTGGAAATTTTTTTCATAAAAAAATTAGCAGAATAAAATTTGACTTTTTTAGGTAACTTTCGAACAACTTTATAAATATGGCAAAAATGAATATACGAACGGTAACTGGAATGATTGTATTGCATTTTTTCTTCGGTCAATCGAAGATTTCGATTATTTTATTGACGAAAATGTGTGGTGTCGTGAGAAGTGTGCACGACAGCATAAAATAAATAGGAAAACAGGTTCGTTTATTAACAAGAATATTTGTTCAAAAAATTGATTTCATTCCGACGATGTTTATATCGAAAAACTTTCTGCAAATGATTAAGCATTTTACATCGTTTAGCATCGATCCCGACAGATTCTGTTTTTTATCTTTTTATTCTTGATGTTTTTTTGCAGATTATTCTGTGTATAATTTGTCGATATGTATGACTTTTGTTTGTCTTTAAAATTTATAGAATTGAAAGATGCCGGAGAAGATATTGCTGAGATAGCAATGATGTACACAAATGCACAACATGCATTGTGCCTGTTCCGATGTAAAAATGACCGATTAACGTCGATGAGACCACCAGTAAATGATCCTGATGTTTTCGAGGAATTCCAGACCCGAAAACCATATCAGTATCTACAGATTTGCTACTGGAAGGTATAATTTAACAACTGTTTAAAACAATTTGCAAAATAATTTCTGACGTTTTTTTTTTTTAAGATTTCTTGATACATGTAAAATGTAATATAATTTTTGGTTCAAAATTTTCAGTTGTAATATAATTTTTGGTCCAAAAGTAAGCCAATTATTGCAGCAAAAAGATTTGGCGTCAGCAGTAAGAAGTGCCTATACATATTTGGTAGCAAATCCAAAAGACCAGGAAACGTTGGATAATTTAGCATTTTACATGGAGCAAAATGGGTATAATGAAGATATGCTTATTGATGCTCGACAAATGAAATATGAGGTAAATGAATGTCATACTTTTGAATAATTGATGATGGAATAAAGTTAAAGAAATTCTTCACAGTTTAATAAAGAATCCATTGGAAAATTTCTTTCTTTGTGATAAGACTTCTCCGTTCTATGTATAAATTGCATTATGGCATCATATGAACCTTATGCATTTTATATGAATGCATGCATATCATTTTCTACTTCTATCGTCTGATATACAAAATGTAATCAAAAATACGTTTACCAAGCGAACTTTACGTTACCATTCACAATTCAACAAAATTAGGTTATTTCTGAATCTAGGCAAGTTATATGCGAGGTGTCAAAGCGTATAACGATGAAGAATGGCAGTTGTGTGTTAATGAATTTGAAACTTCAGTGAAACAGTTTTTTGACGAGGAGCAAAAATGTCGATATATTTGCGAAGATAAATTAGACTGGGAAGCGTTTGATAGTGCCAATCCGGAAATAAGTATTATTATTACAAGTTTGTATTACATTATTCGCACACTGGATTCCTCGAATATTTTAAAAAAATTTCATATGTTTGTGCTGAGACATTTGTTCCAGGTATATACTTGTCTGTGCTACGATGTAAACATGACTGTGTTAAGAAGCTGTCACGGGTAAATGGTCATGATATCGAGTTCATTCTTCCAACATACTTCGAATATCTCCATGTTTGCTACTACAAGTGTTAGTTTACTCATAAAATAAGGAAGGACAGAGTATAAATGATGTTGGCACTGTTTACTGGCATTTTCTAATCATTGTTATCACCTGAAATCACTTGATTCAATTGTCATACCATTCCCTTTAATCCACTGACTTATTGGACTGTTTCCTGTTCAAACTATAGGAGGCTATTAAGAAGAAATATTTTCTTGGTTTGCTTGAATTCTCCGAAGTTATGATCAAGTAATAACAAAGTCGACTGCAATAATAATTTAATAGCACGAACTTAAATATGACAAAGAAACAACAACCCAAATGAAACAACGAATCAAAAAATTTTTTGTGATGTTAGTATTTTTCAGACTTAAAGGAAATGTCAAATCAGGAATCATTATACTCTGGATTTTTTAGACCAAAAGGATACGACCATTCAACAGTTTCTGAAAATTTTCAGTGAACCGTGGAAGAGATGTATGTGAAGCCGTTGCAAATAGTATTTTGCTGAATCCTAGCAATCCAATCATGCGACGCAACAGACTGTTCTATTCAAAAACATACAGGAGTGACGATCTTTTCAAACCTTCTGATGTAGGTTTGAAAAGGATCACACAAGATTTTTCATTAATGATGGGATTTGTTTCGTCAAAAATCCATTGAGATTATCACATGCACACATAAAGATCAACGAATACACATTTTTGTTATGGTTATGTATAATTGCAGGGTATTATCGAATTCCATAAGCGGTATGCAGTTGAACGGCTCTTCTTGGAGTTCGTCCATGAACGTTTTAAATTCGAAAATAATGAGGTACGGATTATCGTGGATATTTTGCTCTTTCATTAAGATCACTAAATGGTGTTAAAAAATATGAAAAGATCCTATAGATAGCTTTATTGTTGCTATTAATATCAATGCAAAACATGGTGTGTATGATGATAATTTGCAGTTACCCGCAGAAATAGTAGATGATCGTCTTCCACTGGATACAACCGTACCGATAAACGATGATTTCGATTATTCCGTCATCGAAAAAGAATTGCTTACTGAAGGAGAGTGTTCTGCACTAGCAATAGCGGCTATATTCGAAACAAAAACAGCACAACAGAAGCAGTTATTAAATAGTTTGACTGATCGAGTGGCATCACGGTATAGAACTCAAACTCTGTACCATTCTCTCACTTGTTCCCCGGATATCAGTGTGTCAAAATGTCCTCATCATGCACTCATTGTGTCTATAGATCGTTCAAGTTGTGGTACATTTTTAACTGATCCAGAACCAAACTCCTGTGTACTCATTTTTTGCGTCGGCTAAGAGATTTCAGTGACCACTTACATCTCTATTCTAATAACATGAATTTGAAGAAAATCGAATATCCTTAAAAATATTTGTAAAAAGGACGTCTTTTTCAATAACAATATAGCTATGTAATCTATAGGACTGCAAGATTCACAACAAGCAAAGACTCGAGCTATGCAAATTCCGCTCTTTTCGTGTAATTTCACCATTGTGTATCCTGTCTAACGTAGGAGCAAGATACAACTCAACGCTTCAAATTACCTTACTTTATTAGGCGGTACTCGAAATCACCAACGGAGGTACACGGATAGAAGATCATATGAAGCTTTTTGACATGAACAATTTCTAAGATTATTAATTTCCGCTGATGCTAGTTCTACTGATACGGATGCACCTCAGTTATATCATTTCTGCGGTCGTAAAATGAAACGTAGTTAAAACCTTAGCAAATAAATTAAGACAGATGCACATATAAACACCAACGCTCCCTTCTCCACCTTTCAAAGAACATGAAACCTTATATCCAAGTGTTTAAGCATAATCATCTTTGTAAATAGGAGATGGTATTTTATATGATTATCTCCTGTAACACAGACATAAGATGGGATTTTTTTTTTTTAATTGTAATGCGATTTTAGTTAACAAAATTGATGAAAATCAGTACTCAGAATAAAAATACGGGAAAAAATTGGTACCCGCACAACAGCACGAAGTTGCGTCCCTCCAAGGTATCACATTTACTTAGTACGCTTATCAAGAGAATGCAACAGAAACGAACACGAAATATGCCCATAAATTTCCAAAAAACCAGAAAAAGAGTTGATCAGCATTACTTTGGAAGGTTCCGTAAGATAACATAAAAGATAATCTTTAAAAACAAGTTTCGTGAAGTTAAAATAATTTCTGAAACAATAGTCAGTAAATTTAGTTTCCTAATCTGGAAGTAGATTTTTTGTAAGAAATTTCTTTCTGGCGCCAATTTTCATACGCTCACAACTGCTAATAACACGAATCAGTGCGGTGTTGGTACATGACCGTCAACATAGAAATTCCTAGTTATTGGGGGCAAAGTTAATATAATATTATCTAATTCTTTAGTTAAAGTAATTTGACATGAAAGGCGAGAATTAGGCTTCAATGCGGGGGCCATATCCAGCATATCATCCTCGGCTTCCTTTGCTTCAGGTAACTTCCGATAAAACTTCTCGTCGACATATACATGACAAGTAGAACAAGCACACGAAGCCTCACATGCTCCTTCAATATCGATTTTATACCTTAAAATATGCGTGGTCATAAACGCAATAGGAAAAAAAACTACTTCATATCCCTCTCCTGAAAGTCAATTTTGCACTTTTTCACAAGTAATGATGAGAATGCCTTTGGTAAAAAACTTGGTTGATCATACTTCGGCAATTGACATCAAGTGAATACCTGTGTGCCAGATACATAACATTATCACCAACTTTGCCTCTAACTTTCTTGACCGTTCCATCGGGTAAAACAAAATTGACATAAACGACCTCACTTCCCCACACTGAATCCTGATATTCATATTCTCCGGCTTTGAGAAATGCACCCATATGGAACGGTAATTGCACCATTTTTGTTAGTGGTGGTATTCGTAACAATGTCGGCAGCATATTTCTTGAAAATTAGGTAAGTAAAAGAAAACAGAGTTAACATGCTAAGCATACATCTCTTGCAAATAATAAACTTTTTGCTTAATATCTTTGGAAGGACTTCAAATTTCCATCATTTTTAGAATTCTTCTGTGACGAGATTGTTAATGTGTACGAAAAAAAAAAAAACTCATTCTCACTGTTTGCACAATTCTCGTGATTATACAGAAATGTGGTAGTACATCAGCGAAAATAATTTCTGACTCATCTTCACTGAAATGACAACTAGCCGTATAATATAATAATATAAATTATTTATTATATACCACACGTACAACATGAAAGAATCATTAATGGCTTCCGTTATTGATTCTCCTTAATGTCACCAGTTCGACTACACCATATCATGTAAAATTTGATACGTCAAAGAAATTTAAGATTACTGAACAGTAGATGTTAACTGTTCGAGATATCTGAGTGCTGTTTCGGTTAATCGTAGAAGTAACTTGAAAGCTTTTCCTGGTTTCGAGGAGTTAAATAAGTTCAAAACTGCCCTGTCAATCTTGGAAACTTACCCACCTGACTTCATTTGAATCGCAAGGACGCCAACACACAAGCATACAACCCCGCAAAGTACAAACACACTTCCCAAAGGAAGCCACAAAACAAATGTGTAAATAACCTACAATGCAATCCCTTTGTCTCAATGCACTTCTCGTGTCTTCCTTAGGGCTCTTTAATTGCTTCCTCGTTGTAGTATGGGAAAGTTGCCTTCCTGGATGGTTTCTGTTAATTTGTCCTTCGTCGTATTTTCTTTACCTATGAATTAGGCAGTTCACCATTAGTTACCCACTATTACCCATTCCACATTCCAATGAATATCCCCTTTATTTCCAGGACAGAAAATTATGTTTGAAAATACTGCATTGCATTCTTTTGGAGAGCTCAGCTTTGTCGTCATAACTGTTAGTTGTAATTGAAGATAATAAAATTACCCAGTAGTTTCTATAAGTTTCATCCTATGATTGTGATATTTTAAACACCAATTCCGAAACATCAATTTCTTTGCGATTCTTAGGATGATAACAATCGCAGAGAATATTGGTACTATAAATGTTCGATATCAGAACAGCCTTGGCGTAGTATATGTTGATTTGATCGATTTCGTAATTTTATTTTAATTTATTGTTTTTTTAAATGTCGATTTTGCTGTCTTTCTTGTCTTTGGACTTTTTGTTTTTTCAGAATTTGATTTCAGAAAATTCAGAACTGTCCTTTTCTTCTCACAAAAAAAAAGTGTGACGATAAAAGTAATATGGAAATCGAGGAAGGAATAAAGTGCATAGCTGACTTTTTCATGCCATTATCAGTTTAAATAAAATAAAATTTTTTTCTTAGTTGTTACCAATTACAATGATGATTTCTGCAGGATAATTGTCATCCCAATCGTCCAATCGTATCTCCCAAGAGCCTTTACCTATTTACACACTCTATAGCTCCCTCAACCCCTTATTTGTGATAAATTGGCTATTTATCCTCCAACCTGTGATGGTTTTGGTTTTTAACAATCACGGAATGGTCTTTGGTTTTCCTGTATGGTTACATTTAGTGGGGTGCGGGGCAGGTGAGTGGTTTTGTAGTTCGGTAATTTCTTCGGTCTTACTACTTTCTGATAAATAAGTATACAGCTAAAGATTGTTTACGTAGACAAAGTTTGATATATTCCATCCTCTGCGCTCATATCACTGTATGTTACTTCTACTGCATGTTGACGTCAGTTACAGTATCACTGGCTAGTGGTCTGTCTGGATGAGTAGCTGTCTGTCCTTTGATCTTTCTTGCGAATTTGGTAAGAGCGTATAAAGGTAAATAAGCACATTGTAGATGTGGCAGCTTTGTACGACACTATTTGCAGTTTGGTTCCAATATTGCACTGCTTATGATATTGTTATTTTCTCAACTCTGAACTTGAAGTAAGTTTTATTCATCAGTACTTCTCGACATTTCCGGTCCAGTATAACTTTTGCTTCCTTCTTCCCAAGATTTCACATGTAGGAATAGTTATTAAATTATTTGACTCCATGGTTGAATGTTGAGTGAAGGTGCAAGAGCAGGAGTTAGTTATGTTGCATAGTGAGGAGTCCAGTATGTGTTCCGTCTTTATCTTAACATCACTTAATCATCGTATTTCTTTGCGTGATGAGTATTGCGCCGGATTCAGTGACAAAGGTAAGTCACATTTTTTCCATAATATAATAAATGCTAAAACTTCATTTTAGAAAAATGGCAGTAGAAGACCTGGCAGCATCCTCAAAAATACTAGCTATTGGTGTTAAGGATTTCTCATTACCAAACTTTGGCCTATATGCACAAGCCTATAGTGGCGAAAACTCTGATTCTCCGTTTTCATCATTAATGCGAATCTTCCCGTATCAAAAAGCACTTTCAGTGGTTAATCCATTAATGATGAGTTTTGCCTTTTTGTGAATAGAAAGCGATAAGAGAGAAACTTCGGAATGAAAGATTAGTATTCAGTGGATAGATTGGACAAAGGATCATTTAGTGGCTGGATTGAGTGTCATTCTTTATTTTAATACTGATGTTAGGGATGTAATTCCACATAACTTTCGAGATTTTCATTTATATTATGCGAAAGAATCCTTGCATTTTATCTACAGATGGATATATTACCTTTTGTGGGTGGACTGTTTATATTTTATCACTATTTTCCGAAAGTATTTTTTTTAGGTGACTTCAAACGATGGTGATATTCATAGGTCAAGTACTGGTATAGATTACACCCAAAAAGATTTGCACAACTTTTTAACATCTGACAGAAATTTTGAAGGCTATGGGACAGTTATCATTTCTTCTCAGGATGCTTTCGAAAATGAACTGGTTTGTTTTTTGATTTGTTACGCAGTATATGGTAGAGTCATTGTATTATTTTTCACACGTAATCTTTGCAGATTCGTCGTAAGCGTGTTTCCTCCAATGTTAGTTTTGACGACAAGCCATCATCTCATGCAGTTTCGAGAATGGATAATCGACAGCGGTTATCTGCCTCAGATCGTCATGTAATTTTTTCCTTATCGTAACAAATTTGTTATTTAAGAATTTTGGTTTGGATATTAGATCAGCACATCGTGCTATGCTGTTATGTATCAATAGTGGTAATATTTCTCAGGCAGAACATATGGTTTTACCGAAATAGGTTTTTCTTTTTTTTTAAGATCATAATGCAGCGATAAGAGATTGCATTGTCAGGTTATATGCGTTATTTTCTAAGTTGATTAGGTGTGAGATCTGGTGACTTCTAGTGGGGTGATTATATCATTTTAGTGAATATATTATCTATTTCCTTTTGCCAACATATGTGTGATCATGATTTACGTCATGTTAGAACCTCTTTAAAATACGGGCGATTTGTAGGATGAACGAATATAATAAAATTATTTTCTTCATGAAATTAGAAAAATATGTTACATTTGAAACTTAAGTGGTAAATTCTTTTTTGAAGTCTAACGAGGATTATACGCGCCGAAAATTAAGATGGCATGTTTACAAGGTTATATAATGTTTTTAAAGATTAATGCAGATTCTTTTTAGCAAAATAAGTTGTCGTACGTATGACTACTTTGCTTGATTTCTTCGATATTTCCACTTTACTGAACCGCTTTAAATTTTTGTTAAAAAAGGTTTAGTCAGAGAGTTATTTGCTGAAGTAATGCCTTACATGTACGATAGCTTATTGATTAATACTGCTGAGCAGCACTTGTTATCATTTGTCAATTACTTTTGCATATTTTACAGTCGTGGTAAATTGTGTCTTGCATGATTTGCTGCAGTGAATTTTTGAATTAATATTCTTACTGGCTTTGTCTTATCAGTCATGCGTGTTTTCTTTTATTCCTTTAAAAAAGATTTGCTGTTTCTTAGTTTCAATCATTTACCGCATCATCAAAGTTCTTTTTGTTTATTATCTACTGTATTGTATGCATGTCTGTTCGATGTTCCCTAAAAATGTTTGTTTAGAAATAATCAGTTTTGTTTTCAGGATATGCCTGTGGTGCTACCTCCTCCTAATCCATCGCAAAAAACAGCATGCCTTCTGTACATGGAGGCCTTCGATATTATTATTTCGAACTCACGTTTCTTAACTGTTGGAAGTGAAGGCAAAAATAAGTATTCGTCTGGGCCGGACCATTGTAAATGTAATGTGAACAGCAGTCAAGGTCGTGCAAGGTTAACAGTACAATTTTCCTTTTTTTTTCCTTTTATTTTTATTTTTTTATTTTAGTCCTTTTATTTTTTAATTTATTTCTTAAAAATCGTTTTTAATTTTATGTCTATGCTTTACCAAGTTCGGATTTTTGTTATTACAAATAAGAAAATATTTGCTAGGCCGAATGCATGCATACTTTACAAATATTTAAAGTAGTGCTAATATTGTCAATAGCTTAATGTAAAATTTTGTTATTACAGTTTCATAATTGATGTCGAAGTTGGAGAAAACATAGAAGACCCCGAAAAAGAATTCTCTTTGACGAGTGGAACTACGATAACTTTTCAGTAAGAAACATTTTCAACCATTCACTCAGTTGTACATCAGTTTTGAACTTTTAATTCATAATTTTTCAGGTTGGATTTCTTACGAAGTCGGAATGGCTACTGGTATTTAGATGGCACAAAATTAAAGAATGATTTCAAAATTAATGCTCTGCGCGCCGAAGTTAACTTTTCATATTTTCTTTTTATTCATGGAATACTTTAAAAAGTATTGATAGTGTTGGTGTATTATGGTTTAGCATATAAAGTACTAGTCATTTTTTACATTCTCATGGTCATGGACAGGACATTATTACCGTTGATAATCGTTCTTTTTTTGGTGGACAGTGTTTATATTATAATGGATTGTCATTTAGCAAAACTTGAACGTGAGTAGTGGTACTGCTACAAATCAAGTAGATGTTGGAGCAGTGTTTAACCGGAATTTTGCTTGTTTTCAAACGGATGCAGCAGTTTTCAAAGTATTAGATGGTAAATATTCAAATATTGGAATTGCACTACGGAATTTTGAGGTACTGTAAAATTTCCTGCTGCCATTTTTCTCCATATTTATATATTCCTTTTAAGACCACCTTTATGAAAGCATGTGGAAAAAGGGAAGCAGAAATGAAATCAAATAAAGTTAAAATCATTTCAGGTGGCTTTGGAACTTGTAGGTGATAAGACACGTTTCGGGTACCGTACATCAGATTGTGTTGGGACATTTAGTGCTGGCAGTTGGATGGGTATTATTATTTCTGTTGTATTTATAAGCATTCTCTTGTTCGGTTATCTGATGCTGCAGTCAATACAAACAATGGATCGGTTTGATGACCTGAAACAAAAACAGATCATAATTAATTTCAAAGAATAAATAATTTAACATTATTGTTATATATGATAACATTCTGCTGCTTGGCATTACTGCTTTATATTCCCTTTATCAACATGTGTATAATATTTATTAAGCTCGAGAGACGGTAACAGACGTTTATAATCTTTCAAGCTTTCAAGCGAAAGGAAAATGATTACTACTGCTGTTTTCTATGTTCAGTTACTGCCAGTAATTGTCTCTGAGGCCGGGTAATAGTTCGCTTCTGTGGTAGTGTAGTAGTTCAGTTGTATTAATTGTATACCTATAGTTTCATTCTATTTCGAGTTGTGATCTTTCAAACATTCTGTGTATGATGTGCTAACGCCGTTTTTTTTTTTTTTTTCAGACAAATTTTTCCAATATCGGTAATTTTAGTAAGTGGTAGGCTTCATATTAGATTTCTTCTGTATGTGCGGGAGTAGGCTAAACACTTATTCAGGGTAGTTACCGTTCAGCATTGATATTTATCCACGTCAGTAGAAGAAATGGGATTTCTCTATTTTAATTTTTATGCTGGTTTTCATGATTTCTCAGCTTACGTATGTTTTCTGTGTGGTCAAGGAATATTTTCATGTTGATTCAGTGTTTGGATATAAGATTGCAGTGATATATGATGTATAAGTTTTTGTCGTCGTCTCCACGTTCCATTTCACTGTTATTCGGTGGCATAATACAGTCGTGGAACTATATTGTAGGAGATCGTCGAACTTGTCTAAACTGTCCAAGATTTCCTCCTCGTCTTAGTTATGTGTAGATGTTTTTCTCGGGAGCTGTAACTACTCATTTTCTATTTTTTTGATTTTGCCAGTGATTTTCAACAGAGAATGTTGCAATGTAGGAAGAGTATTTTTTGACCGCTTTTTAGAATTTATGATATAAATGTGATCTACTTTGATGCTAAGAATTTTAAAACTGTTTAGACGGAACTTATACGCCATACATTTGGAATAATTAATTTCAATCAGAATCAGCCATGTTTGTGGGACTGCAAGCTCTTCCGTGCAGTTTTTGCAGGATGGATGATATGGAGGGAGATGGCAGTGCAACATTTAGAGTTCAGCAAACGATTGGAATACGGTGGAGGGCATTACTACCAGTACATCAGCAAGATGGCAGTGTTTATTCATATGGACATTATATTTATGGATGGACCAGATGAGCTCTTACTTTTTCACTCAGTTCCTTGCATTCACAGCTTTCTACATTCAGTACTTACAAAAGGGGAGGAGGCCAATTCTACCTTAAATAGCCCTAAGGAACAAATAATGGTCACTTGGTGTCTGAAAATTATGACGAACAGAAAGAGGAATACTGTGAGACAAACGAGTGGTCTGCGACAGTAACATTGAGTGAGTAAAGACGTAAAAGTTACTGCTGGAAAGGTGCTACACTGGGAGTTGTGTGGATTTGTTGACAGGGATTACAAATATGAGACATTTGCCAAAAATATGACTTGAGAGGAATGAGTTTTGTTTGTAGCAAATAGTACTTAATAGTTGTAAGAGCCCATTTTGGCACGGCAGAAATAAAGAAAAAAAAATGATAATTGTTTAAAAAAGAAACATTCGAGCGAAAAAAAAGGACAAGACAAGCATCAAAGAAAATTGACAAAAACAAATGGGCGGTGTTTTAAAATCAATAATTAGTGAAATTTTCAAGCAGCACCAATAATTAAAGGGAAAAAACAGTTGCATTAGCGATGATGACAAAAATCGGCAATGAATGTATGAAATGATCACGATATTTAAGCAATTTGTACCCTAACAAACCTGCTATTCCTCTGGTTGTTACTGTGGTTTTTTTCCTTTTTGAATAAATTCGTAAATAATAATAACAATGAAAGAAGAATGAAGATGGACCACCTAAAATATATTCTTAGAGTAGCTAACCGACAACTTCAACATGCCATAAAAAATATTTCGGCATATGTTAATATAAATCGTTTGTCTGTAAAAAGACATCCCCTACTTTGTTAATTTTCAAAGCAATAAAAGAAAAAAGAGATGCATAGAAGTCGAAAACAATTACTACTAATCAATCCAGCAATATGGATGCTATATAGTGTGTGAAGATCACAGCAACCTGTTCTAAAATTAATTTACAGTTCCAGCAAATTCTAAACATTGATTGAAAAAAAATTTTGATAGGTTCTTTTAGTAATAAAATTTCTCTACCAAATGTTGCAGGTTACAATATAAAACTGTTTGACAGAATTTAAATTATGAAGGCAAACATTTAAAACAAAATTAAAAAAACAAAATATCCTAAAAGAGTTGGAAACCATTGTTTGGAGAATAAAGTTAAGAAAGTGCAGAAGTACAGTCATCATATAAAAGCAAAGAAGTAAGTAAATACATATGTGTCGAATACAGTTACTCCTTTACTTAACAAACATACAATAACAGCTCATAATCAGAGAATCATCGAAGCCACTTTGTTCGTTCCAAATTTTTTCGAACAAATAACACTTTACTCTAAATTATTCATTTTCAACTTTGTTACCTTTTCTATCAACAATATGAAATGAACAAAATAATTGATACAAACGACTTTATCTCTACACTATTTTCTTAACATTATAGACTAAAAAATAAAAACAAACAAAAGTACAGAAACGCATATCTAAATTTATATGAGTACCACACAAACAACTTCCTGGATATTACGAGATATAGTGAGAGCCGAAAACGATGAGAGAGAAAAAGAGAAATGAAGTTAGTTATATGTGGGAACTCTCATTATATATTAAATACAAAATAGAAATACAAAAGAAATCTTATTTCCACAAAATTTTTAAGCATTTCATATACTATTAGGAACCATTGTTATTACTACTTTTTCTGTAAATTCATTTATAATCTTTTCCGTTTTAATCATAATATGCAAGAAGTGCGCATGAATTATTTGAAATATTAGAAGGGACAATAAGTGAAATAAAAATTTTCATATTAAACCCTTTCCATGATGTACAAGAAGTTCACCAAAACACCAGTTAATCTTCATCTGTTTTCATTTACAGTTTATACTTGTAAGGGATGGCATCCACGCTTCTTTTTTCTTTTGACCTACAATCCACAAAGTGTGGCATGACAATACTGTTGACTGCCTCTATCATCTTTTTCATCCCACACCGATACTCGGATTCTGCTTATGGTCAATTTCTATTACCAAACCTTTAAACTTATCCGGACTACATTGACCGCAGTAACCACCGCAACGTCCAAAAATTCGCGCATTATTCTATAATACGTAATATCTCTCCACTTAGTAATAAATAGCAGTATTCTCAACATCTTAGCAATTGTTGAATTTAATAGATACGAAATGAAATAAATTTTGGTTTGTATGTGAAAAACTATCTCAGAAATCTCAGCGCCGATATACAATGATGTATAATACAGAAATAGTGCTGCTTTTAATGACACCCGAATTATTCTGGAATTATGCTTGATTTCGATGCAGTTCATTTTAAAAAAATGATAAACTCTTTATTGTCATAATCCTTTCCGAACAGATAAGTCTCACTTCTTCCATGAAAATAATGATGGAACTTCTTAAATCAACACACAATTCTCACCTTTTCGGTCTTTCTCAGGACACAAATTATTGCAGGTTCCGCCTTATCTGTACCAATGATTCATAAGACTGACTATTACAATGTTCCAGAATGCTTTCAATATTCCTTATATATTTTGTATTTCTCAAAAGAAACTAAACATACATCAGAACGTTCAATTCTCGAACTTGTACGGTGTCCCTGATCAACCCATCGAAGGTCATCCATCACTCGGAGACCTGTTCCTCGTAAATCGATACCAAACTGACCCTGAAAATGAAAACTTTTCAATTGAAGGCACTATTTCAAGTTGTGCAAATAATTACCATCAAAATTTTAACAATAAAATAGCCAAATATTTATCAGCTTTCACGAAACCTGTGGACAATCAACAGCACTGTAGCAATCACCAGCTGTTGCAAATGCTACTTCTTCACCGTGCGATGTCGTTGCGAATGTGTGATCATGGACTGAAATAAATCATTTTAAGTATGACTGTTCTTAATGTTTCTTCCCTATTAACTCTTCGTTAAATTTTCACCTGTTATGAAGATAAAGATCTATGAACGTTGCTTATTCTAAGAAAGAATTAATAGAGATATTTTTAAGTGCATCCATTTTAACTGTCGAAATAAGTGCTCAGTTTGATTGTTAAACGGAATGATTATATATAACAATTTATTAGATTATGTAAAAATAACTCACTGTTTATTTTCATATTGTGAAGATCGACACGAACTTTCGAAAAACTAGAAAAGCCAGCGCTTGCACTTCCATCATCCGTGCACATGCATGTGTCATTACGTTGTCCGTTATGGGGACATGTAAATGGATACAGTAATCTAAATGGAAATAAAACATAAGGTTATCACAGTTTGAAAAGTGTTCATGCATGCAATCCGTTTATTTTGCTGAAAGCTGGAAGACAAAAATTTTCGAACCAAATTTGTAATCAGAAACAAGTAAACTACCAAAACTATTTGGTTATTTAATGTAATAAGCTATGTTATCACGACTGTACTCTGGACGAGATGATATGCAAGTTTTTAATTCCAAAGAATTAGGAAATGGTATCTTTGAAAAAAAAACTTAACATTTGGTATCTTTGAAAAAAAAACTTAACATTTCAATTATGTATTGAAATAATGTAAAGATCCTAGGGTATCAATCAGAAGTATTTTTAACATCACATACATAACCATTTTGATTGGTATTACCTTTTTCCGTAAATTTCTGCAAAATTAGTCTTGCTATTGAGATTGATGTATGTCTTTGGTAGTGTTTCATTCATTAGGTGGCAATAAACGGTAATGCGAAAACCGGCTACCAAAACGGTATAATTGCCATCAATGCTATTCTCTTGCATATAGTATGCTTTCAATTCTGCACAATCACCTGGTAAGCCTAGAATACATTATGAGTAAACTTAAGATATTTCCAATTA